AAGTCTTGTTCGAGGCGTTTCACCGTTGCAAGGCGCTGTTCCAAGGCGTCACCAGCATAACCGTCGGTGGAGTACTTCGCATCGTTGCGGATCTTGCCCACCTGGAGCTTGGCCTGGCTGATAGTGTAGGCGTCGGTTTCGATGCGCGTAGGGCAATAGGTCTCGTTGGTGTAAAGGGGAAGAAGCCTGCAGTTACTGCCGCTTCTTCAAACGTGGTGCGCCACGCAGCATAGAATTTGAAGGCGTCATCGAGGAGAATGCCGGAGTAGGCGGTAATGGTCGAAGCAGGAGGGCTCATAACCTGTCATGAAGCAAGAAACAGGAGGTAGGCGAGGGTGATAGGCGTGTAGCAACTTATCGCAGAGTGTCCAAGACAAACCAAGTGTGCGGGACTGGGGAAAACCAAAAATGACATTCAGTCGTTTACAAACTATCTATCTTCGTTCCTATTGGCTAAAACTCAGCCAAAGGGAAACACTGACTTGTGAGAATCAGAGCTCTTTTCCTTGTGCTAGAGCCGTGATTGGGTGAGCAATCACTAGGGTAGGGTTGCGACATGAAGAGTATACAGAACATGCAGGTATAATGCGGTCACTGTCTCGGCCTGTCAGAGTTGATAGACTAGGCGATAGAGTTTGGGAGAAATAGGCGAGGACAAAAGGCGTGAACACAGGCGAGGGAAAAGCACCACTTGACAGTTACTACGTACTCTGGAGTACCGGTAGTATCTGTGAGGTCGTTACAATAAGTACGCAGGAGTATTTTACACTCTGAACTACAGTGTAGGTACAAACATTCATACAATCATCTTAACCCTTAGCAAGACTTCGTGATGCTTGTAGCCAATAGACCTCTTAACCAACGAATGGGTCAAACTCGAATGATTGATCACATACAGTATGTACGCATTTACTTTACGTGTGACTCACTGTCTTGTTGTCCTCGTACACTTCATGAAAGGATCGATTAAATCGTGAAGGTAGTCACTATCCTTCTACAGACAAACTCCATTGGATTGCTACTTGCCAAAACCTGAGCAAGAAATTAAGTTGTGGAGGAACAAAATGACTTTATCGATGGAGCAAGTTATAAGCCAAGCCTTTGGCGCGTAGCATGTCGGTTTGACGATTAGGCGGTGGTGGATGGGCCCCAGGTTCGAGTCCCAGGTGTGCCAAATTTTTTCCCAAAATCAAAATTTTTACACAAATAACACATGATGAAAAAATGCATATTGAGCTGAAGTTAATCGAAGATATTGTCTCCCTCTTCATAGCCAATGTCGTAGTCCTCGCTGGTGTAGCCAGTGTTTGCACGACCCAACACAGCCTGAATCCGGGCCTTACGATTCTCGCGATACTTCGCCTTGGAGGACAATTTCTTGGTCTTGATCTTGCTTCCAATCTTCATAGCCAATGTCGTAGTCCTCGCTGGTGTAGCCAGTGTTTGCACGACCCAACACAGCCTGAATCCGGGCCTTACGATTCTTGCGATACTTCGCCTTGAAGGACGAGTTCTTGGTCTTGATCTTGCTTCCAATCGGGAGCAAGCGGTTCTTGTACTGATTGTAGCCCTCACCGTCCACGTTCCGCAAAGGATTGAACCGAATGTGGACATTGGTGAGGGCCACACACATCTGAAAGTACATGTTGTACTCATCCTTCTTCCACGTGTACTTGTCAGACGCCAGACCCCACAGCGTCTTGAGCCTTCCGAAGAAGTTCTTCACAATCACACGATCTGACGACAACTTGGCATTAGACCGCTCCTGCTCCATTGTCAGTTGTCCGTGCGGTGGGCGCTTCAACGGTGTGAAGCCACGGACGTACTCTTGGGTGCCTTGATACCCCTTGTCCGCAAGGACGGACCATTGACTCGGGAACTTGTCGCGCAGCGCGTCGTTGGTTGTCGCTGACGTTGGTGTCGCTCGGTTGCTTCTCAAGATGCGTAGAGTGAAAGCCCAAGTTGGCCTTGAAAATTTCGAAGTCCGACGTGCTGCCCACAGCACAATCCGTGACGTTGATTGTCAGGCCATTCGGTGCAACGGACACCTCAACCTTGTGTCCATAGAGACCGTGCTTCTTGGAAAAGTACGTCTTCTTCTCGCCGAACGACACCGCGGGTGCAGTTGTGTGCTGGAAGGTGACGTCAACGGCATATAGTGCCGACTTGTGGGTTGCGAACTGCAGGCCAGCGACGGCAAGCTGCTGCATTGTCCACTTCATGCCTTGCTCGTCTATGTACTTGCGGACCAGGTATGGATGGAGAACGCGAATGAACTGGTTGATGCGATTGCTGAACGTTGTGGCACCCCCGTCAAAACTGGCGGAAAGAATGTCCCAGGTGCCCGCGTGCTTTAGCGCCACGAGAGTCATGAAGAGCATATCCTTCCCAATGACCGGATATTTGCGTCCACTGCCGACGTTCCAGTTCTTCGTCACGAATGGCTTGATATTGGTCCACAGCGTGTTGAGCTCGGATGCCGAAAAGTTGGTGAGGGCGTGAACAACTTCAACCCCTTTGGCGGCAATGTACCGGTCCATGACGGGCGAGGCGGAGTCAAGGTCCTCAGCAGTTGCATCATTGGACTCAATCGAGAATCGCTGACGCTTGGACAGTCGGCGTTCGTCAATTGCTGCAAGTGCATCGACTGCTTTGGTAATCGTGCGGGCAGAGGGGAGACTCTTTGCTGGTGTCGTGGTGCTTTGGCTCGGCATGAACGAGGAGCAGCGGATGACCTTGGATGATATGAAGTAATTTCAGAAGTGATCGACTAAAACGCCAATCTACTGAGCATTCTAGAAAAGACAACCAGGACAAGTCGATGGATAATCACTGTTCAAGTCGTGAATCGCCTAAAATTGATGATGTACTAATTGAAATGAGGTGTCAATATGTGGATAGTTTATAAAATTAAAGGGGTGTTATATTGCACAAGTTAATACTCAATCTCTGGGTTGATATCACTTCATTCGCCAGGAGGTCTAATGATGGCGTTGGCTCGTGAATGTTTGTACCTACACTGTTATTCAGAGGAGCATATTAATACTTCGAGGTACTGTTAAGAGACATGGGACAATTTAAGGGACATTCAGCCAATCACCCTGTGTAGCAACACCTTTTTAAATTAATACGCGCCTTGATCCCATGTGTTACGTATATATAAATCAATTACTACCTCCAGACGGAAATAGACCGACCATTTCAAAATTGATCAAGGACGGAAATAGACTAGACATATTGCATCCCCCCGAAATATAATAAATATATACCAGGCGTAATACTAAAGGCTAGTTAATTAAATAAACAAGTTTTTTTATTTAATTATTGGCATTGTATACTCAAACCCATATTAATTTGATTCTTACGCTGATACCTACACTCCTTCATCGTCATCGATC